GAGGCGTCTTTTGATTTGTTTTTGTTAAGCCAGAGTCGTGGAAATGGCTTGCTTTTTTTTCGAAGGAGACCGATCGGGGAAGGGGGTGGGTTCTATATCAAAAGTTGCGGCTGATTGGGACTTTTTTTTTTGTTGTTATTTAGGTGTAGGTATTATTATATAGGGGTAGGGATTAGGTTTATATTTTGTGTATTTTGCCAATTAGTCCCTAGGTCTTTTGTGTTAAGTCCTTAGGGTCTTTTTATTTACTTTTGTTCCAAAGAAGAGTCTAGAAGGGTCCCTAGACTACACAATGGCTTGTTTTTTTTTGTTTTTTTTTATTTTTAAAATAAGATATAAATACTACACAATGCCAAAGCTAATCCTAATTAATTAAACTAGACATGAAACTATTTTTGTATTTTCGAAATTATATAAAGATAAAAATAAAGTACTATTTTTTGTGTTTTTTTCAAAATTTATGAAAAATACATAAACTAAAATATTTTTTGTAATTTTCATTTTTCTTGTACTAAAATAAAGTAAAAATGTCAAAATTAATTGAAATAGCGCTATTAGGCCTAACTTAAATATTTACACGCTAAAATATAAAAAATCTTGGGGAGGGTCAAAAATCACATGTCTACAGCCGGCAACGGATTCTGGTTAATATTTGGTGCATCTGGGGCCTGAACCTCGATCCGGTGAGTGTCAATGAGTTCCTGCACAACTATTTTTAGTTTCCAACACTTCTCTGTATCATGTCCGGGGGCTCCCAAACAGTATTCACAACTTACTGAGTGGTCCAGATTTCTAGGAAGGGGGTTTGGCATTTTGGGCTCAATATGATTCAACAGACCTAACTGCCACAATTTATGAAAAAGAGTGGTATATGATTCTCCCAGTGGAGTGAAAGTCTTTTGCTTCTGTAATCTCTCATTTTTTAAGGCTGGGCTTGGTCGGTGACCTGCTCCGGGGGGGTTTCTGTAGGCTCTTGGGGTGGATAGGTGTTTTGTGGAGCTGGGTATGAGTTTGGGGAGCCGGCGCACGCCATTGCGCGTGAGCCGGAGGCTGGGTATAAGTTTGAGCATGGTGGACGGAAAAATGTGGATCTGGCGGTGGGTAATAGTGTTGTGGAGGGATATATGGAGTGTATGGGTAATTTTGGTGGTGGGTCGGGGTTGATTGTAGTAGGGTGAAGGGCCTCTAGATCTGGACCAAGCTCCGGACTCAACGGTTGCAACTTCTTCCTTCTTCTTTTTCCCGAGCACACCCCCAGTGCCGCTTTGGATGGCCTGGGTGGTTGCTTTGATCGCTGAATAGCTCATGATTTTATTGGATTTCAGTCCTTCCTCAACCATTCCTCCCATCTTCACAACTTCATTAAAAGATTTGCCAATTGCTGTTACCAAGTGACCAAAATAAGTCGGCTCCAGAGCCTGAAAAAAGTAATCAACCATCTCGCTTTCTTTCATTGGAGGGTCGACCCTCGCGGCCTGTTCTCTCCAGCGGAACCCATACTCTCTGAAGCTCTCCCCGGGCTTCTTCTCGAGTTTTATCAGTGACAGGCGATCTGGAACAATTTCTAGATTGTATTGAAAATGGCAGGCGAACGCTTGTGTCAAGTCATCCCAGGTATACCACCTACCATGGTCCTGTCGTGTATACCACTCCAAAGCAGACCCACTCAGACTCTGGCTGAAGTACGCCATCAGTAACTCATCTTTTCCACCTGCCCCTCTCATTTTGCTGCAGAATCCCCTCAGGTGGGCTACCGGGTCACCATGCCCGTCATACAGATCGAACTTAGGCATTGTGAACCCTGTTGGTAACTGAACATCCGGGAACAGACACAAATCCTTATAGGCCACGCTGACTTGGCCACCCAATCCTTGCATGTTCCTGAAGGATTGCTCCAGGCTTTTTACTTTTCGAAACATCTCTTCCTGCTCCGGGTTCTTAAGCGGCTTTTCAGTTTCCACCGGGAGCTCAAAGTGAGGGGTGTAGGAATATGGCTCGGGAGCTTTAAAGGTACGATTAGGAGGGTAGTACTGGCTATCGTGAGTTTGAAACAGTGGCTCACTGGAAGATCTTGGCAATGTGGCAGGTGGAGGTGCCACAAAGACAGGGGTGATTGGTGGAGGAGGATTTTGTTTGGGTGGTGGAGCTTGGGGAGGGTAGGAGGTGGTGCCATAACTCTGTTGGTAGAAAGGGAAAGCTGGAGATGAATTCACAGTAGGAGGCTCCTGAGACTGAGCCAAAGGTGGGATATAAGTTGGATTGGCGGGATAAACTGGCGCGGGCTGCCCCTTAGCCCAGGCCTGATGCATTTCGGCCATTTGCTGCCTCAACTTATACATCTCTTCCCTCATTGCATTAACATCCACCACCTCTACCTCTTTTGATGGGTCCACAATACTGGTATCTGATTCCTGGCCTGTCATGTTCAATTTGTCTTTTGACCGGGTGTTGTAGGAATAGGTTGCCAGAATGCCAATCAACTAACCACCTGCCTGGACTCAATATATCAACAACAACTTGGTTAGTGGTTAGGGCATTAACAGATTTGATAACCGCACGTTTGGGGAATGAATGCACCTAAGCAGTTAACGGATTCTATTATGCATTTGCTCGACTGCTTGCGTCATCCCGGCTTTCCTTATTTCCGATTGCAACTTTGTTTGGTTTTTGTTTCCTTTCTTCTTTTCTTTTTCCTCACTCTTGCCTTTGTTTCCTCTTTGTTCTTATTTTCTCATTCCCTCTTCTTTTGCTATTGTTTCTTACGTTTGGTTTCTTATTTTCTTTTTCTTTNATTTCATGTCAGTAGCCCTTAGAGGTACCCAGATGTTATAGGTTGTTTATTCTCTATCCCTGCTTACATTACTGTTCGTACTTATGGTTCCCTGCCTTACATACTCAGTACTTTATTCGTACTGACGTCCTTTTATTTATGGACGCTGCATGTCGTGCTGCAGGTCCTGATAGACAGGCAGGCGCAGCTCCCCCACCATAGTAGGCTGTCCAGTTCAGCGGTGATTGGCGAGATCCCTTCTTCGGACTTGCCTTGGTCTTGGTATGCATTTTTGTTATAGATATTATGGGTATGTCGGGGCCCTGTTCCGGCTATGTTGCAACACTTATGTTCCTTTAGAGGCTCATAGACAGGTGTCGACTCATGTATAGTTTGGTAGGCCTTGTCGGCTGGTTTTTGTTGTATAGTGTCTCATGGTAGTGTGGTACCTCGTACCTTATATATAGTTTCTTGATTCTCTAGTCATCCCATGTTATGTATGTTCATGCCATCATATTTTATTGTTGGTTGTCCATGACCCATGTCTACCATTTATATTGATCTCGTCAGCCCTAAAAGATAATAAAGAAGGTTAGATAAAATGTATGTTGGTACTCGGTAAGTATGGCCGGGTGCTAGTCATGGCCCTCCAGTTTGGGTCGTGACAATTTCACTCTCTTTCATCGGAGGGTCAACCCTCGCTGCTTGCTCTCTTCAACGGAAGCCGTATTCTCTGAAGCTCTCCCCTGCTTCTTCTCAATTCTGGTCAATGACAAGCGGTCTGGAACAATTTCAAGATTGTACTGAAAATGGCATGCGAAGGCTTGGGCCAGATCGTCCCATGTGTACCACCGACCATGATCTTGCCGGGTGTATCATTCCAAAGCTGAACCACTTAAACTTTGACTGAAGTACGCCATTAGCTGTTCGTCTCTCCCGCCTGCCCCTCTCATCTTGCTACAAAAACCTCTCAGGTGTGCCACTGGATCACCGTGCCCGTCATATAAATCAAACTTGGGCAACTTGAACCCTGCTGGTAATTGGACATCTGGGAACAGACACAGGTCCTTATATGCCACGCTTACTTGTCCACCGAGCCCCTGCATATTCCTGAAGGATTGCTCTAAACTCTTGACTTTCCTAATCATCTCCTCCTGCTCGGGATTTTTAAGAGGCTTCTCAGTTTCCGCCGAGAGATCAAAATGAGGAGTGTATGAATAGGGTTCTGGAGCTTTGAAAGTGGGCTCCGGGGGGTAATATTGGTTATCGTGAGCTTGGAACAAAGGCTCGCTGGAGGATCTGTGGAGTGTAGCGGAAGGGGTGCCACGAAGACAGGAGTGGCTGGTGGAGGAAGGTACGGAACTAGTTTGGGTGGTAGAGCTGGTGGTGTTAGGGAAGTTATGCTCTGGTAGTGTTGGTAAATGGGAAAGCCCGGGGACGAATCGGTGGCAGGATGATCCTGTGATTGAGCCAATGGCGGGATGAAGGCAGGGTTGGCAGGGTAAGCTTGTGGTGGTTGCCCTTTTGCCCAGGCCTGGTACATTTCGGCCATCTGTTGCTTCAACTTATACATCTCTTCTTTCATCGTATTGACATCCAACCCTCCCCCCTCTCTCGAAGGATCGATGACACTCGCATCAAGTCCCTGGTTGGCCATGAGCACTTTGTTTTTGGAACGGGTGTTGTATGGGTGAGTTGCCAGAATGCCACAAACTAACCACCTGCCTGGACTCAACATCAACAACAATTCCATTAGCGGTTAGAGCTTTAACAGATTGGTAATCGCACATTTGGGGAATGAATGCACCTAAGCAGTTAGTCGTTTCTATTATGCATTTGCTCGACTGCATGCGTCATCCCGGCTTTTCCTTATTTCTATTTTGCAACTTCCTTTTCTTTTCTTCCCTCTCTTTTGTATTCTTGTTTTTTTTTGTTTCTACTCTCCCATGCCTCTCTCTTGTTTTTCTGCTCTTACTTTCCTTTTTCCTTACTTCTCTTCTCGTGCTTTTCCCTTTTCGTTTTTCCTCTCTTCTTTTTCCCTTTTTTTTCTTCTTTTATTTTATTAGTTATGGTCGAATCCTATGGAGATTGCCTACGTATCATGACCCCGCATGAATCAGACCGAGCGTAGTTCTGGAGGATAAAAATAAATAACGAAACATTTTGGGATTTTTAAATTTTCATAAAAATAAAATATTTTGATTACAACGACTCATCCTACGGAATTTTTACCATAAAAACCAACATGCTCAAAAACGAAACTGACAGGAGAAAAATCAAGACTCATTTTGACTCAAAAAGTTATTCTTATTTTTTCAAAATTTTCATAAAAGTATCCGGCTTTGCCAATACGGCCTTTCAGCACCTCGAGGAAGAAGATTTTAAGGCTGTGATCGCTAACCGGCCAAAAATTTAAAAATGACCAAAGGCGGCTGTTCTTGCAAAAACAACTCTCCGGGGCCCTTTTAGGAACATTCGGCTATTTTTTACAAGAATGGCATCACCTTACTTATTTACCATAAAATTTGTTGTTTTTGAGCTAGTTTTGCAAAAGGAAAGTTGGACCCGATGAGGGTTGCCTACGTATCTCACGCCCTGTGAGAATTAAACTAGCGTAGTTCGGGCAGCTTTGACTCTTTGAAATAACTATGTTTTGAAAAAAATTCGGCAGAGTTTCGGCGTATTTTCAAGCATTGGGTTTTTCTTTAGAACCGGGTTTACTTCTTTCTTACATCACTCTTGGTCTTTTCCTTTCTTTCTCTTTTTTCCCTCTCTTTTTTTTTTTGATTTTTCCGCTCTTTTACTTTTCTTATCTAGCCGGTCAGCATGCAATTTTGAAATAAATAAATGTTCACGTAGCACATAGAATGCATCATGGTGGTCTGTTATTTTGGGTACACCTGTCCTAGACGGACCCAACCCCTGTGTTGAGTCCCCTAAGTCAAAATGCACGTGATGCAAACAAGCGCTCCTACTAGGGATCCGGCATGAGGCTGAGTTATTCTAGGTTCAAAACCTGGGTATATGTTCTAGACTGTGTACCCAAGCGGACAACTTGAGTCGAGGAGGGGGCTACGTACCGGGAACCAAAAGGCCATCCGGCTTAGTAACTTGTCCTGCCTCTTTCTTATTTTAAGGTATGACACTAACATAATAGGGAGTCTCGACCAGCGAGCACATCCCCGGAGATGAGAAGAGAAGGGTTCCGTAACAGTTTTATATATACAGTTCAGATAATATCAAAAGCGGTAAAAAGCAACATTTTGCACATTAGTCCCAAACATGTAATAAAATCAGATAATAAACAAAGCCAAATACAACAATATATCTAAGCTCGAATTCTGAACCCTGAATCAGAGATTCTGGGTTCGTTCCCCAACAGAGTCGCCAGAGCTGTCACACCTCCTTTTTTCACTACACCCCCGGAAGAGGGTATAATAAAGGGAGTTTTTCCAATTAAAGGACAATCGAAACGGGATTATATTATTAAAAGATTCAGAGTCGCCACTTGGGATAATTTATGGTGTCCCAAGTCACCGGCTCAAATCCCGAATCGAGGAAAGATTGACTCTGTTTAACAGTCCGCGAATCAGAAATCCGAGTAAGAATTCTGTCAACCCGGGAGAAGGTGTTAGGCATTCCCGGGTTCCGTGGTTCTAGCACGGTCGCTCAACTGTCATATTTGGCTTATTTATTCGATTTTAGAACATGTTTTAACCTATGTGCTTTTAACTTTAAACCGCTTTTATTATTATTTTTAAAGAGAATTGCAACGTCGTTGAAACACGTCTCGAACCACGTCACATAAATGCACCCGTGGTTTTTGACACATTTCAACTTCGTCGGGATTTGGATTTGGGTCACATAAATGTGCACCCGAGTTTAGGAAGGTAATATTATTAAATGTCGGGCCTAAAGCAACAAGCGTATTATTAACTTTGCGGGAAGCCACGAAATTTGCTAAATGGCGCATCTCGAGGTCTAAATATTTTTATAGAAACAGTTAAGAGGGTCACGCTATTTATGAATTTTGTTGGGCGTGGCGCACCTCGTTTTTATTTTAAGGCCAACCTAAAGATGAACTACTATTATCTAACGGTGATTATC